TGGCACCTTATTGTAAGCGGGTGGGATTCTGTTTGATGAAGGAAGAGTAGACTTGTTCTCCTCTGTGCATCTCACGTACATTTTACACAGATGCCAAATGCACAGAGTTCTCTGAGTTTGTCTTAGGAACCCTAGCGAGGAATCCAGACTAGGGTGGATTCAGGTTTTCAGGTTATCTGCAGCTCATCCCTTCACTGGCGAGAACACAGTGGAGGGGTTCTCGAGCCCAGCACATCAGCCTCACCTGGGGAGAGTTACTAAACTCTGGAAACCAAGCCTCACTCTCAGCCAATTTCATCACAATCTCTGCAGGGTGGAACCCAGTTTTTATTACTTTGAGAGCTCCCTGGTGATTCTGACGTGAGCTCCACCTGACCAGAAGCTCTCTGAGGCCCCTCCCAGCACCCCGAGGCCTACAACCACACATGATTCAGACTGAACACTTAGCATGTGCTAATTGAATAAATGAAGATTGTGACTCACCTTGTTTGCTTTTTTTTTACAGTTCCTACACTCATAACTAATAAGAAAAAGAAAAAGCATAGCATGGATCAACAGAGATTTTTGCAAAGATGGAAAAGTTCTATAATCTACACTGTTCTTTACAATAGCCATGAGCCAATCGTGGCTACTGAGGACTTGAAATGTGGCTAATGTGATTGAGAAACTTTCTAAATTTTATTCAAGTTCAACTTGAAATTGAAAGAACTACATGTGATTTTTGGCTATCACATTGGATGGCTGCCTTTTATAAACTCAGCTACACCTTTGTGCCACCATACTCCTCTTTTACTGACAGGACCCCATTACCTTGGGGGAGCCCCTTGCCTCCACTACCTGCAGCCATAACCAGGCAGCTAGTGAAGTTGCCTCACCCTCTGCCAGTGGAAGGGTGGACCCAGGACTCAGGATAAGTCAACCAGACTCTCGTAGGAAGGGGACTCAGTGACAAAGGTACAGAAAATGAGTCAGAACAGATTGCTATGAGTGGCAGTGCCCTGAGACACTGTGTGTTCATTCCTAGAAAATCGGTGCAGAGAGTGCTGATGACAACAGTGATATATGACGAGAGCCAGGCTTGACCATCATCATCCTTTGTCATTATCAGAGGCACGGGTATCCAGCAACTCTGTTGTGCTACTCCTGGACTAGGGACGTAATCTGCTAACTTCCCTTGGGCATCATTTCTTCATCTGTACAATGGGAATCGTGCTCATGCTAACTTCTTCCAGGGTTTTTGTGAGGATGGCAAAAAAGATAATGGTCATAAAGGTTTTGAGACAAATATGGAAGTCCCCAAATGTCTGTGACACATGCTGTTCCCAGGGCACAAGCGTGGGGGAGTCACGGAAGCCAGAATGGAGGACCCAGGAACTCGCCCCAGTTCACAACCTGTGCAACATCAGGCAAGACACTTGTCCTCTCGGAGCTTTTGACTGAGACTGAGATACACATGTCCCTTTCCAGCTTCACTAGTTTCTCCTTTATTGGCATGCCCCCTTGCCTGATACACATCCCCTCCTCCTCCTACGCACACCTGCCAGAAAATTCTTTAGTCTCCATGCTGGCCTGTACCCAAATCATTTCTTCTTTTCCCAAATCCGTACCTTGCTGGGAAGTTGCCCTGGATAGGCATGCTCATAGTTTTCTGTACTAACTCTCAGGCAAAGACTAGATGGGAATCATATCTAACCATCTCCTCCACTAATAGACCAAAAGAAGCTCTACTAGGGCAATGACCTTGCTCTCATTCACTACTTCTCAGTGCCTGACACAGCATCAGACATGTAGCGGGTGTTCCATAAGGGCTTCCTATTTCAATGTTGGAGTGAATACCCCAAGCCTATCTATTCATTTCACTTCAGGAAAGCCACAAAATTAGGTACGTAATGCTGCAATACAAATTAACCCCCACACATAGTTTACCAGCTTAAAACAATAATTATTTATCTCAACTTCCATAGGAGAGAAAAATTCAGACAGGGCACAGTGAGGTTGCCTGGGACCTCAGTTATAAGATTCAAAGGCTGGGAGCTGGAATCATGGGAAGCCCTAGTTTACAGTCTATCTGGTGATTGATTCTGGCTGTTGGCTGACAGCCCACTGGAAAGTGTCAGCCAAAACACCATCCTGTGACTGTGGCTTCTTCATGTGGCCTGGACTTCCTCCCAACATGATGGCTGGCATCTTCTGAGAAAGGAAGCTGCCCCGTTTCTGTGACTGAGCCTTAAGGGTCACATAGGAGGACCAGGGATTTAGCTCAGTGATGCCACTGCCTGCCTCACAAGTGCAAGGACCCAAGTTTGATCCCTGGTACAAAAAAAAAAAAGAGAGAAAGAGAGAGAGAGTCACATAGGATCATTTTCATCACTTTCTTTTCATTAAAGTTAAGTCCCTAAATTCAGTCAACATTCAAGGCAAAGGGAATCAGACTGGGGTTTTGTTTTTGTTTTTAAGGAGGGATAAATCACTTGCAAGCATAATTTTGCACGTGGTTAACGAACACAAGAGACAAAGAATAGGGTAAAAAACATGTGTCTGAAAAAGGAAGATTGTACAAGTTTGAGCTCTGCCATTTCTCAGCTGTGTGAGCCTGGGGAAATTACTCTTTGAGACTTAGTTTTCCCACTTATACAATAAGAAGGTGGCAGTTGTTTATTTCTAGTGATGTCCACATACTTGGGGTCTTCTTGCCTCAGGAAGCTTAAGAAGGGTCCTGGGACCTGTGAGTCCTTCTCCATTACTGAGCGGCTTTGGTTTCCTGACCCTAGAGGCAGTCAGAGGTAGCTAGCTACAGGAGCTCAGGAGACCCAGAAAGTCTGATACAAGAAGATCATTAAAGAACAGATGGAAGACCAGAGAGCCGGGGATTTTTTTAAAGCAATGGTGGCAAAACTATGGGGCAAAAGTTTCTTGTTTTTCTTGTAGGACAAAAGATGTTAATATATGAGTTGATTTTCCTAAACTAAAACCTCAGTTTTCAGGTTTTATGCAGTGCTGGCACTTCTTGATAAATCAGTGGATTTTGGATCTCTAAAAGGTTCACCATCACTATTCGGAGGTCTTCTCTGTCCCACCCTGGTGTGGAAACCTCAGCATGTCAGATGCAGGAAGTGTAGACCAAATAAATATGAGTCTGCCCTCTGGAGGCCTGTGTATTAGTTGGCTTTCCACTATTGTAAGTAAATATCCAAGACAACCAACATAAAAAGAAAAGGGTTGTTTTGGCTAGGTTCTATTTCAAGACAGGCAATGAATGACCTTGCGCCCCTGATTAGGGCAGCACATCATGACAAACACCTTACATCACCAGCCAGGAAGCACAGAATAGAAGGGAGAGTCCTGGGCCCCCAACTCCCCTTCAGATCCTCAAATCTCCAATGAGACTGTCCCCAGTGACCTGAGGATCTCTCACAAGGTCCCATTTCCCAAAGGTTCCACCATGTCCCAGTAACACCACCCTGGAGAGTAAGATTTCCACACAAGTCTTGGCCTTTGGGAGACCCTCAATATCCAATCCATCACACCCAGGAACCCGCATGTTTCCCAGGAGACTATTACAGCAACTATTGGAAGGGCGGAGGAAAGGTCTTAAAGCGCACAATCAGCTCTGAATTTTAGCATAGCTCTTCGCTGTGCTCCATGTTCCAAGGGTTACAGCTCCATAGAATGGGGGGAGGGGGGTGTGCTGAGTCCTCGAAGTCCAGGAGTCACACAAAACAACCAGCTGTACTTTCACCTTATTCTGTGGCTGGCTGAGTCACCCTAATCATAGCGTCCCACTCCCAGACCCTTGGGAGCAGCATCCCTCCCTTCCTCCTCTGGCAGAATCGGTGGGGACCCGGTGTCCAAAGCCCAGTTCAGGCTGGAGGACTAGGAACCACCAGTGAAGGGAACTGGGCAAAGTAGGATGTCTCTTAACCCTCTTGTTTCCAGAGGTAATTCCCAACCCCCAGATACCCTCCCTCAAGGAACGGGCGCTCTAGGAGCGACTCTGCTTTCGTCCAATGTGATCGCCTCAGTTGACAGATGGGGAAACTGAGATCTATGGAGGGTGTGGAACTCCTAGAGCGAAGCACACCCTGAGCCCAGCCTAGAACTCGGGTCTTCTTGTCCAGTGCTCTGACTTCTACACAAGGAGGGCTTCCCACCCCCGGTTAGGAAAACTCCTTCCGCTCCTGGAATCTCCCTGGAGTTTGCGCTCTGTTTGGCACACTGTAACTTCCTCCGCAGCTTCGCACAGACTTCGCTGAGCCCTGAGAGAGAGGTGAGAACGAAGCAGATGCCCACTACATCCCTAGGCAACTTGGGAGAGAGGGACTGCTGCGGGAGGAGGACCGGGCGGGAAGGCGCTGGCCCTTTAAGGGGGGGACGGGGCGCATGCGCGACGAGGACCGCTGTAGAGCCTGGTGGGCGGTGGCGGCTAGCAGGGGACTGGAAGAGGCCGTACAAGGACTGCCTAGACACCCGGCTGAGAAGGTGCAGGGTTTCCCTTTGTGAGCAGCCTTCTGGTGCTCTGGGGTTAGGTTGGCAGCGCAGCCATGCCCAGGTTGCTTGGTTCGCTCGTTCTTCCCTGCATCGC